ACAGCCTTTCCCTACCCACGAAACAGCCCAGGGCAAGGCCCCATTAAATGGACCAGTGACCTGGACCACAGCCACGGAGGTCAGGGAACAGAGAACCACCCATCAGAAGTGCTAAAATGAAGGACCATGGGTGTGAGGAACCAAAGCCCGGGACATCAGCTAAAATTTAAAATTGCGCCCGGGACAAGCAACACAAGCAGCTCCTGGGCAAGCTCACCAGACGTTAGGCAGCCTATGGGGGGAGGGGGGTTCAACTGGCAAATTTCGTGAAGATCACAGTGGGCAAGGGACACAAACCTTAACCAGGCAACCACTCCAAAGGCTTTCCAGAGATGGACAACAGAATCAGAGAGGAGAAGGGCTCAGAGAGGTTCAGGAACCTGGTTGTGCTCACAATGTCTCCAGAGCCAGGAGGGAACTGAGGTGCACTTAAGTCCACCCTCCACTCTCTCCACTTGACTTCCGGTCATTCCATTCCAGGTCACCCTCTTCAAAAGGAGCCACTGGCTGCCACACAGAACTAGCCAGGCTGACTGCGATTAGAAAACAGAGACAGCCCAGCTACGTGAGGGTCACAGGGAATCCCACCCACTGCCGGGGTCCGCAGTAAATGAACACCAGAGGCGTTCCCTCATCCTCCCTCCTCTCCCCTCTCCTCTGACCGTCCTCCCTGTGGCAGAGGCACTAATGAGCAGGAGCAAGGGAGGATGAAGGGCTGTGTAAACCCAGCAGTGGGCACACGAGCCCCACTAGACACGCAGGCAGCCAGGTGCGGATGGGGCTCCAGCATCAGGAATGCTGCCTGCTGGAAGGGTAGAGCCCACAAGAAAGTTCTGAGGTCAAAGGACAAAGCTACAGTCAGGACTTGCCCTGGCTGCCAACACTGACCCCATAGCACTGGGGATGCTTGGAGTGGGTGGGGGCAGAGGCTCTCACCCTGGGACCACACAGGCTCTAGGTCACGACCCTTGGCAGCTCAGGACCCAGGGAGAAGCCTTTTTGTGGTGCCCTCAGAGGAAGGGGAGTGAAACAGCTGGGGGACAAGTTGGGCTGGAGACCAAAGACCAGCCACAGGTCCTGACACCCAGCAATAGCTAACAAGTATCACCCAGGTGCCAGCTCTGTGCTGGGTACCAGCTAGGCCAGCAAACCAGACGTGCTCCCTTGCCTTCAAGGAGTTTATGGTCCAGTTGGCGGACATGCAATAGACAAGCAAGTAAATAGATACTAAGTTAAACCACATAAAACTGCCATTTTTTAAAATTAATTAATTTATTTATTTATGGCTGTGTTGGGTCTTGGTTTCTGCACGAGGGCTTTCTCTAGTTGTGGCAAGGGGGGCCACTCTTCATCACGGTGCACAGGCTTCTCACTATCACAGCCTCCCTTGTTGCAGAGCACAGGCTCCAGACGTGCAGGCTCAGTAATTGTGGCTCACGGGCCCAGTTGCTCCGCGGCATGTGGGATCTTCCCAGACCAGGGCTCGAACCCGTGTCCCCTGCACTGGCAGGCAGACTCTCAACCACTGTGCCACCAGGGAAGCCCAAAACTGCCATTTTGTAGGTCAAAATTGGTCAAGTGTTAATAATTTCATATGGTTCAACCTAATTAGAAGTTGTCTTGAATACCACGAAGAAAACCAACAGAAAGAAGCAATTAAGAATAACAAGAGGGGCTTCCCTGGTGGCGTAGTGGTTAAGAATCCACCTGCCAAGGCAGGGGACGTGGGTTTGAGCCTTGGTCCGGGAAGATCCCACGTGCCACGGAGCAACTAAGCCCGTGCGCCACAACTACTGAGCCTGAGTTCTAGAGCCCGCAAGCCACAACTACTGAAGCCCGTGCGCCCTAGAGCCGGTGCTCCACAACAAAGAGAAGCCACCGCAATGAGAAGCCCACACACCGCAACTAAGAGTAGCCCCCGCTCGCCACAACTAGAGAAAGTCCACGCACAGCAGCGAAGACCCAACGCAGCCAAAAATAAATACAGAAAAGAAAAGAAAAAAAAAGAATGAGAGGCTCAACCCACCTAGACAGGGAGGCTGGGAGCACAGCTGCAGATGGGAGGGAACAGGCAGCCAGGGTGTAGAGAGTGGAAGGCAGATACCAGGACCAGCTCTGTGAGGGAGTGAAGCTCAAAGCTACCAAGAAGGGGGATGCAGAGAAGAAGCTGCAGCCCATTCCCCAAGACCCCCAAACGTCAGCAGTCAACTGAGCGCAGGAGTGGAGGACCCCACACCTCTGAGGCCACAGCACTGAGGGCCACCAGAAGCCCCCCCAGCTAGGTCTGTGTGACAGAGTCTTTTCCCATGAGGGCAGAAGACAGCTGTGAGTGAAACCACAACAAATATCATGCACACTGCTGGACTGATTGCTCTAGTTGCTCTGAATCTTCACGCCTCCCTGTCTCCTCCCACTTTGCCATGTAACCCACAGGGCCCTGCCCCCTCTCAGACTGGGGTGGGCTGGTGTGACCTGCTTTGGCCAATGGATGTTAGTGAACATGAAGCAGAGACCTGAAAAAGAACTACAGTGCTTTTGATCTGCCATAGCCATGAGACGTGAATGCCCAGGCCAGCTTGCTGGTCCCAGGAGGAGGATCAGCAAGCAGATGAGAGATGAGTCACCCCAGTCACCCTCACCAGGCCACCCTAGACCAGCCAACCCCTGCACATATCATTAACCCAGCCAAGGTCAGCAGAGCCGCCAGGCTGACCACCCTGGACAGCCGAGCCATCAGCACGGAGAGCTGTCTGTCACTGAGGCTTTGTGGTTGGTTGTTACACAGTGTTACTGTGGCAACACAGTAGGTACTCAGTATGTGTCAATTAGATAAATAAGTTTCTATTTCATTTCTAAAAATTTAATGGTTTAATAAATTATCGATTGTGCAAACTACAGTACCTTCTATACAAGTTTTCTACAAAAACGTATCTTGCGCTGTGAATCGACCGCTCCATCAACCGTACAGGCAATGTCTACAAGAAAACAAAAAGTGAATCACCAACTCAGGCAAAGAAAGAGGAAGGGGTCAGGAAGCCTTGAAGAATGCCTGTTGCTCCCCCTGCCTACGGTCTATGCTGAACACAAGAATTGAGAAGCCTCAGGAGAGGGAGGTGGACACCAGAGAACCGTGTGTCCCACGTTAGGCTCCCTGGGCCCTGGACCCTCCCCATACCATACCCTGAAGCTCAGTGGTCAATGCAGCAAGGCCGAGTGGAGGGCCTGTCAGCAGCAGCCTCCTTCACAGGAGGGGTGAGGCTCCACTGGACTGTGGGTTTGGGGAAGTGCTAGAAAAACTGCCAAGTGCCCCCCGGGAAAGTGGTGGCAAGCACAAAGCGTGGTGATTATCATGGACCTAAATAGGATGCATTTGCTTAAGCGGAGGCAGAGCTCCGAGAGGGCTGGGCTGTGGCTTTATGGAACCCCACCAGCATGCCTGCCAACTTCACCGCCTCCTCACAGGGCTGGCTGGGGATCACTGCAGCCCTTCAAAACTGGAAAGGACTGTGCCCAGGAAGAGAGAGGACGACACTGACGTGGCCCCTCTCTGCCAGCAGGCACACACCCTCTGCAGAAGGCCTTTCCCTTTGTCCAGTGTCCCATTGGGAAGCGGAGGTGCTCTTACTCTTGACACCAAGTGGGCAAACACTGCTCTCACTCAGCCTGGCCCACAGCACCCAATGGGACCTGGACCAGCAAATCAGAGGCTGATTTAAAGCCATAACCCAGGAATTTCCTGACTCTCCTATCTGTCTATCTGTCCATCTGCCTTCTTTTCTATTTTTCAGTCCTCTCCTTACTTATGACTCTCTGCTGCCCATCTTTTGCTAGTTCCCCATTTATCCCTCTCTCCTCCTCCTCCTCTTTCCTAGTCTGTCCATCTCTCTTTCTCTGCCTCCTTCCTGATAGATTTCCTTAAACAGAGGAACACACATACAGCCCATTATATTCAGATATACTAGATACAATTTACATTTGCAATCGAGTGCCCACTCAGGAAAAGTAGAGTGCATGCCAACCTCAGACCATACTGACATGTATCTTTTAGACAGATTTTTGGGGAGATAGAAATTCACATGGTTCTGCTCATATCTTTTTCTATTATTAGAAAAGACACAGATTTGTAGAAGAATGATAGCTATGGTTGCAAGTGCCCAGCCTTGCATCAAACCACTGAATGGCTGTGTCAGAGAAACTGGCCGATGGATCTCCTGTCTCCTTCAAGGAGAGCCTCCAAAGCCAGTCTCTTAGGTGGTACTTGCCATTCTGAACCACGGGTGCCAATCGGATCTCTCAGTCAGCCTTTCTTCTAAGAGACTCTGCCCCTATTCACACCCTGCTGATGGAAGGGGCCTAAGTGGCCATGTTTGTGACCTGCCCCAATACCTGACTGGACCAGGACTGGACACCTGACCCAAGCTGAGCCAATCAGATTCTTTCTCTCAAGAACCTGAACTGAGAATATGAACAAGCCTTGTGAAGGTTAGATCAGCAGTTCTCATGCAAACAAATAAGGGATGTGTTAAAATCACCAGGAGAGCTTGATAAAACCCAGATTGCTGGGCCTCACCTCAGAATTTCTGATTCAGCAGGTCCAGGATGGGGCCAGAAAATGTGCATTTCTAACACGTTTCCAGGTGCTGCCACTGCTCCTAGCCCAGGGACCACACTTTGAGAAGAGCTGAGTTAAAGGGAGTTGAGCCCAGGAGCGGTCGGGTCATGACGACTCGGGCTTACATGGCATCATAGCAAGTTCTTGGCTAGCTGAGGTTGGTGGGTGGGGGCACTGGAGGCTGGTCCTCAGAGAGCTGTAGGAACAGAGACCTTGGCCCCAGAGACAGAGGAGGCTGAGCAGCTCTGAAGGCCCAGCGGGGCTTCCTTGTGAGGTTTCCCTTCCTGGCAACCACATGCCACTCATTTGAAGAAAACTGTGTTTAAGAAGGTTGAAACCATGGGCTTCCCTGGTGGCGCAGTGGTTGAGAGTCCGCCTGCCGATGCAGGGGACATGGGTTCGTGCCCCGGTCTGGGAAGATCCCACAGGCCGCAGAGCGGCTAGGCCCGTGAGCCATAGCCGCTGAGCCTGCGCATCCGGAGCCCGTGCTCCGCAACAGAAGGGGCCACGACAGTGAGAGGCCCGTGTACCACACACCAAAAAAGAAGGTTGAAACCAAGCATCTGAAATGTACCTGAGGACGAGTGTGCTGGTCCAGCATGGTGAGCTGCACATATGTCTGCAGCGTGAGGCCCCATCGACAGGCATCCTGGTACATCAGACCCTAAAGAAGGGAGAATGCAGTGCTCTATCTGTAGGACTCCTAGCCCGGTCACAGAGTGGACAGAGACAGACACTGGAGCAGTTACAGGACAGCCTGGGAACAGCTATAACAGAAGCCTATATAAAGTCCCAGGGAGCATTCATTCAGGCATTTAATCACGTTCACTGAGCCCCTGCAGCCTGCTCTCTATCCAGCAGCCAGTGAGCCTGTTATACTACAGGAGCCAGTTATCATCACTCCCCTGTTCAGAACTCTCCCTGGCTTCCCACTGCATTCACAATGAAATCCAAAGCCCTTACCAAGGCCCACAGGGCCCTAGACAATCACTTCCACCTTCTCGTCTCCAACCATTCTTCCTTTGGCTCTGTGAGCTTCCAACCCCATGAGCTTCCTTAGTGTTACCCAAACACCCAAGTGTGATTTCAACTCAGGGCCTTTGCATCTGCTGTGCCTTCTGTCTGAACACTCTCCCCCAGATACCCGCACTGCTCCCTCCCAAGCTTTGTTTAGGTTTCTGCTCAAATGTCTCTTTGTCAGAGATGCCTTCCCAACCATCCTCTCTAAAACAGAATCCACCCCCTCAATCACTTTCTACTGCGTGTAGATACAAAATACTTCCTGCTCCATGTTCCACTTGCTAATAATCCTATTCTGGGGCTTCCCTGGTGGCACAGTGGTTGAGAGTCCGCCTGCCAATGCAGGCAGGGGACACGGGTTTGTGCCCCGGTCTGGGAAGATCCCACATGTCGCGGAGCGGCTGGGCCCGTGAGCCATGGCCGCTGAGCCTGCGCGTCCGGAGCCTGTGCTCCCCAACGGGAGAGACCGCAGCAGTGAGAGGCCCGCGTACCGAAAAAAAAAAAAAATCCTATTCTGCTCTTTTCCACATTTTTGCTTCTTTTTCTCTTGGTGCTAACTAATGAAACTCCGGTGCTCTGCATTGAAAACTGCAAACTCCTAACTGCGGGTGAAAGAATCTCAGAAAAGTTAGGAGAAACACTCCCTCTTGCCTGACAGCTACAGAAAAAAAGACCCTTTCTGCATCAGAAAACAGATTCAGATAAGGTGACTAACTGAGACTTTTCACAAAACTATCAACCTTGCTCCTCTGTCTAGAGTGGAAACTTGTGTAAAAATACCTAATTCTATTGTTTTTTTTAATTATAAAACTGTCATTGGCAATGCTCTTTGTGCCACAGATACTCAGACGTCTGAGACTGGGACTGGGTCCTGTGAATGTCACCTCTAATCCCTAACGTCTGCAACTCTAGCTGTCTTACACAACGATCCAGCCCTGGCTCCTCCCGGTTTCCTAGAAGACAGGAATGTTTCTGAGCTTCCTTGTATGCCCACGACTGGCATTCCATCTTCTGCCCCTTGCTGAGAGGTGAAACTCTTTTCCCGTCTCTGGGATTCTTTATTCAAAAGCTCTGAGAGGTTTTGCCTTATTTAAATAATATCCTTTTACCTGCTTTAGATGCCTTCTTGGCTCCTGTCACCACCCACCATATCACACACTTTTTAATTGCCTTCTGCCTCCCCACACTGGGATATTAGGGCCAGCAGAGCAGAAGCTTCGAGGTGCTCACCGCCCCAGCGTCCAGAATAGTGTCTGGCACATGGCAGGCATGCAATGAATACTGGCTGAATCAATCAGTGAACAAGCACCTACTAAGTGCTCAGCACTGTGCTATGTTCTAGCAAAAAACGGTGAGCCAAATTAGACACAGTCCCTGCCCTTAGCGCAACTCAGAGTCTAAAGAACCACACAGGAGATGCCAGTTGTGTTGCTAGAAATGACAGGACAGCACAGGCTCCCCCTAGTCCAAGGTTCAAACCTAGATCTGTCATTTACCAGCTGTGTGACCTTGGGCAACCTATTTCAGCCATGGTTTCCTTACCTGAAAAACAAAACTAATTGTTCCTCCATCATGGGACAGGAGCCCAGAACCAACATCCCTTTCTTGAGCTCACTCTTACAGGACCCAGACTCCACCCACCTCTTTCAAGCAGCCAGAGTTGAGCCTTCAGAATGGGGAAGGAGGTGGGAGGGGCACAGGCACATTACAGCCCCTACTTGCTAGGTCCACCCTTGGGAAAGCAGACTGGTAGCTTCAGGGTGAGCCTGAGGCAGCCCCTGGGCATCGGCAAGTGCAAACCCCAATCAGAGGTTTACCAAGGAAGCTAGTTACTTAGGGACAGGTCCTGGGGGGCTAGGCCTGAGGAGACCTGGGTTTCTTCTAGGAGAGGGTGGGCTAAGAATGAGCAGCAGGAGAAGGACCCCCCGGTAGCTGGGGCCGACCACTTTGGATAGTTTGGGATAGCTGACAGGAGGTCCCTGGGCTCCTTACATGCCCAGCCAGGCCTCAAAGAACCTTAACCTCAGACCATCGACATGCCGCCATTTTCCCTTTGTCCCTTCCCTCTCCCCCACCACCCAGCGAAGAGCAAGGACACGTCTGGACAGGGTGCAGGCTCAGGCACCAGCAGCGCTGCTCCTGCACACTTAAGGGGCAGCTGGCGGTTCATGCATAGAACAACATACTCACCAGAGGATTATGGCCTCGGACATTTCTCCACTTGGGCACAGGCTCCGTTAACACCTGTCAGGAAAGAAAACATCAGAGAGCTGCTGCTCCTCAGTTCTGAGCTCTATGAAGGCTCGTGTTAGGGGTGGGATCGGGGAGACAGTCAAGATTTGGGCGCCGACGGTGGGCAACACTCCCTGCGAGGCCACAACTCCATGCAGACGGGGCTCCAGGCACAGCTTCGAGAAATGACTTGAGAACCACTCTGTCCACCCCTGTATACGAGCATATGCACACGCCACTTCTCCTGCTGCCACGGGAGCTCCCGGGGTCAAGTGGGTTCTCCCAATCCCCCCTCCATGTGTTCCACCCTGCCCCTTACTGCCCACCACATCAGGAAGGCAGGGAGGTGAGAGAAGCCAAGAGGGAGGCTGCTTCTTGCACTTCAGGCTACAGCTTGCACCCAGCTTCCGGCCTGGGGGCTCTCCAGCGACCTTGGCAGCGTGCTCTGCCTCCCTTTCCTCCCTCTGATCTCTGTGTTGGGCACACTGACGGCAGAGTCCTGTTTCTTCAGTAGCCGCCCTAAGCTGTGCAGGTGTGTGCTGGAAAGGATTTAAATGGCGCCCTTGGGACTTCCCTGGTGGTCCAGTGGGTAAGACTCTGCGCTCGCAATGCAGGGGGTCCGGGATCGATCCCTGGTCGGGGAACTAGATCCCGCATGCATGCCGCAACTAAGAAGTCCACCTGACGCAACTAAGACCCAGCATAGCCAAAATAAATAAATAAGTAAATGGTGCTCTTGGGGCCAAGATTTTGAGAATATCCGGATCCCTCTGGGGACCTTCAAGTCCATGTGAGTAGGTGCCACAGGTCACAAGAGAACAAAGGAAAGCAATGCATGGGACCCTTGAAGAGTAATCTCCCCCCACCTTTTACCCCTCTGTGCCTTTGCTCATGCTGTTGTTCTGCCCAGTATGCCCACCTCACCTCATTTCACCTCAACTTTCATTAGATGGAAAACTCCTATACATCCTTCAGAATCCAATTCAAATATCCCTTCCTCTGTGAATCATTCCCTGCTCCTCCCAACCTCCCTCTCCTTCTTCTGGGTCTTCAGCACTCTGGTCCTGTCCCCTGAGTAGCATATGCTGTACCACTCAGGCCCACTAGAGGCTGGGACACAGGCAGCCTTGACCTGTGCCCCATCTGTGGCACTGTCACTCAACAAATACTGAGCACCCACTGTGCCAGATGCCACGCTAGGTACCAAGGATTCAGCAAGAGAAAAACCACCCCAGCCCTGCTTTCATGCTTTCAACTTTCAACTTACTGGGGAAGCACACATTAATCAGGTCATCACAGAAAGCAACACACATTTTCAAACCCCGAGAAGTAGGACAAAATAAGGATTCAGGGCTTCCCTGGTGGCCCAGTGTTGGGAGTCTGACTGCCAATGCAGGGGACACGGGTTCGAGCCCTGGTCTGGGAAGATCTCACATGCCACGGAGCAACTGGGCCTGTGAGCCACGATTACTGAGCCGGCGCGTCTGGAGCCTGTGCTCGGCAACAGGAGAGGCCGCGATAGCGAGAGGCCCGCACACCGTGATGAAGAGCGGCCCCCACTTGCCACAAATGGAGAAAGCCCTCACGCAGAAACAAAGACCCAACACAGCAAGAAAGAAAGGAAGGAAGGAAAGAAAGAAAGAAAAGAAAGAAGCAGCTAGGTGGAAGGTAATTTGTTAACTTATTAACTTTCCAGTCAGGGTGATGACTGTGACTTGTGATTTGGGGTGTTGACTACTTGTGATTATGTTATGACGGTATAAAGCTCAGAAGTTGTGGTCTGTAGGAGGAGAGAAATGAGATGGTTTTTAGACATGTGGCCATAAGGGCATCCTTAGGCAGATGTCCAGTAGGCAGTTTCCCACATGCCGCGGAGCGGCTGGGCCCGTGAGCCATGGCCGCTGAGCCTGCGCATCCGGAGCCTGTGCTCCACAACGGGAGAGGCCACAACAGTGAGAGGCCCATGTACCACAAAAAAAAACAAGAAACAATAAACAAGACGAAACAAAAAGGATACAGAGGAGCCAGAAGAACCTACACCATGGAGGGTAACCTAGCTGGGGAGGTCAGAGAGCACAGCTGAGATCTGAAGGCTGGGTGGTTTTCCTAAAGCCAAAAAAAGCTCTGCATACTATAGAGCCAAACAAGGGCATGGCCCCTGGAGCAGACAGCCTGGGCTGGGACATGGCACCACATGCACTAGCCATGCGACCCTGGCCAAGCCATGTCACCTCACTGAGCCTCAGTTTCCTCCTCTGCAACTGAAGTAATAACAGGACCTGTCTCATAGCGACTACTCCTGTAAGAATGAAACCAATTAGATAATATAACGACGCCTCAACACAGTGCCTGGCACATAGAGTATTACCCTCATTAGCTGTTCACTCTCCTTGCTGATGGTATTGTTATTGTACATTGGCTCCAAGGTGTTCAGTGAGAATACATGTGCTTCTGAAGTGTCAGCGAGAGTTACACAGCTCAGGACAGGTGTGTCGGGAGTCCCCCAGACGCCCGCCTCCCCGGGTCTGAGGATTAGGAGGACTCACAGGATACAGCATATAGTCACACTAATAGCTAAGATTTATTACAGTGAGAGGTTACAAAGCAGAATCAGCCAAGGAGAAGGGTGTGTCGAGCAAAATCTGGGGGAAAACCAGGCACAAGCTTCCAAGGGGTCTCTCCCTCCTCTCACACAGGATGCACTCCCCCAGCAGCATTTCTATAGGGCAGGTCCAGTTTGCACCATTTATAAATGCACCAAGCTTTTGCAGGTTCCTTCAAACCTGGTGTGGAAGCCGTACCTCGATGCCAGTTGTGTTGGAGAAGAACTCCAGGCACGTCGTCTTCCCGCTTGCAATATTGCCCTCGACACATATCTAGCAAAAGACAAATGCATGTTAGGATCAGAAATCGAGTGCCTGGGGGAATACCAGGAAGAATTTCTAGGGAAGGGCTCAGGTGAACAGCATAACTGGTTCAGCCCAAGACTCCAGTGTGTACACAAAAATCCCTCTGGAGGAATCCCCTAGGGTCCTGTTGTTAGTAATAGCAACCACCCGATCCTTCCCCTCAGTGGCAGGCTCCAGGCCCACCGCTGCTGGCCACCAGGCCACTGCCCTCTGGGACAGACACTCCCTTAGGTCAACCCCTAGACCCCACACAGCTTGCCGTCGGCCGCGCTAGCTCTGCCCTTCCCTAGCTCAACTCCTCAGACTATTAGATTTTAGGCCTAAATGTCCTGCATCCTTCACCAGAACCTAATGGCTTTAAGGATGGGAAGCATGTGTACGTTACCTAGAACCTAATGCACTGCTCTGTGCAGAAAAACATGCTTGGCCGTGGACTGGAAGGTATGAGGACAGGAGAAAAGGACTAAGATGGGCAATGTACACCAATCCTGCACTTAACCTTGCCAGAACCTGAGAAGTGGGTTCTAACATTTTCACAGAAGAGAAAAATGAGGCTCTAGAAGGGCATAAGGCAAGGAGTAGAGCTTGAACGTTCACTCTGCTCATACTAAGTGTACTGGGGGGAAGGGGTTGTCTTGGCACTGGTGGGAGGAGTCTACCCATAAGAAAGACAAGGAGCCTCCTATAAGTACCCCACTGCAGGGAAAGAAAGCAACTGAAGCTGTGGTTCTCAGTCTTACGTATGTGCTAGAATCACCTGGGAACTTTTAAGAATCCACAAAAGGAAGCCACAATCCAGGCCAATTCTGGCATGATCTCAGGGTGGGACTCAGGCCTCAGTACCTTGGAAAGCTCTCCAGGTGATTTCAACATGGAGGAAGCTGAGTACCACGGACCCAAGGCAGGGTTTCTCAATGAGTGGTCCACAGAGACCCTGCTCCAGAAGCACCAGCGGAGCACCCAGACCCTCTGAATCAGACTCTGGGTTGGGACCCTTGAATCTGCTGCCCAGCAATTCTGACAAAACTCTGCTCAGCCAGGACTGCTGGTGACACGGGCCAAATGGCTTTGGTTCCATCAGACCACGAGAGGAAATGGGCAGTTCCACATATGTGAGAAGACAAACATGCCCTTGACAACATACATTACATGTCCCCTGGGGTACACACAGCCAGAGGGGACCTGTCCTGCTGCACAGTGACCTTTACACCCAGGTTGGAAGCACCCACAGAGAAACGTGGGCCACTTGAGTGACATGCCCCAGGTGCCAGGGTTGGCAGGGGAAAGAGCTGGAATTCACACCTAGGCCTGGCAACTCCCTTCTCATGACCCCAGTGGAGCCTCAGTCACACCCTGCCTAAGACACAGGGGCACAGTGGGCTGTCTCACCTTGCCCCACCTCTACAAAGTCTCGCCAGCAACTGGACTCTCTCTCAGTTGGCTGCGAAGATTTCCTCCTGCCTTGATCCTAACGGCTACCTAGGAGAGCTGGACGGACAATCGCAGTTCCAACAGAGGCCTGGCCCTCCAATCCAGGCTCCCTGTCCGCTTACTCCTTCAGCACAAGAAAACACAGTGAATGTGAAAAAGAGAGACCCTGTCAGGGCACCAGTGGATTTTATTTTTATTGTCGTTCTTTAAAGGAAACAACTTTTCCTAGATATTTAAAAAGAGCTCAATCTAGACATCATTCTGCACAGACTGTTTCTTTCCTGTTCATTGCAAGGAACGCGTTATTGAAATCCCTACTGTTGGATGTTACATTCTGTCCAGTTACTTTTAATTTATTATAAAACTGTGTTGTGACACCCATTTTTTTGATATGACAAGCTGTGCTGTGGTGAACATTCCTGTACATAAATTCTTGTCATTGGCTCTGATTATCCCCTTCAATAGACTTCTAGAAATATAGTCACTGCATCAAAGGATAAGTGAGTTTTTACAGCGGTTGATGCATGATGCCAAATTACCCTCTAAAATGCTGACCCAATTCACACCCCTTTTAGAAGGATGAGAGTGAGCCTATTAACATACTGCGCTAATACTGGGCATATCCCATCCCAAATCTTCGTTAATTTCATTGTTAATAATGTCTATAAAATTAGCCCCTGTAGGTTCTGTACTTTGCAAACATTGTCACATTGATCCTCACAACAATCACAGCTACGAATATTTGCAGATGGGGAAACTGAGGCTCTAAGAGGTTAAGGACTTATCCACCTCCACTAAAGAGCAGAGCTGGGACTGGAACCAGGTCTGAGGTCTGATCCACAGCTTTCATCACTCCATCTCCCAAAGCATTCTTTCTCTGTTAGGGAGGTTGAGCACTTTCTTATGTTTATTAGCCATTAAGAAATTCATTCAGGAAATGTCTGTTCAGACTTTGTTCACCTGAAAACCTTAGTCATTTCTTTTTAACCCGACTTTGGAATTTATTTTGTAATTCTGTGGCAGTGACTCACTTCGCAGCTGCAGCTCAGCCCAGATATTCCCTGTCCTGTCCAATCCCATGGGATGTCCCATGGGCACCTCAATTTATCACCCCTCAACACCCACATATGGCTTCTCTTCCCATTCCTGTCCTCAGGAAAGGCTGCACCATCCACTCAGACACCCTCAAAGCCCTGGATATCTTCTCTCCTCACCCAGCAACTCAGCAATACCTCTGGGCCCCACTTCCTACTCACCTGCAGAACCCGGCCTGTCTCCTTGGCCCCTAGTTAAGGTCTCTAACCCTCCTTGTGGGAGCAGCCTCCCTGCTGGCCTCTCCCCCTCCAGTCCAGCCCAGCCAGGTCCCTCATCCCCTATCCATGGTCCACCACCTCTTCCTGAGATGCAAACCAGATCACAGCTGGTAAAGTCTTTCAGTGGCTTCGGGAGCTGGGACCTGTCTCCGGTCCTGCTTCCCGACCCCCAGGCCCTCCGCAGCCACCTCTCTGGGACTGGCCACAAGCCTCAGTCTCTCATCCCTCTGTGACTTACCCCTGCAGTTCCCTCTGCTCCAAGACTCCTGCCTCGCCCTCTCCTCCTTCTCCCAGGAGGCCTCAAGTCTCCCCCTCAGTCATCATCCTCTAGAAGCCCTGCCCCTACTCCCTCTTGTTCCAGATCCACCATTGTCCTATTCACTGCCATCCCCCACATCCAACCACAGGCTCACTAACACCAGGGGCTGTTGGATTCCCAGGTCCCCAGGTCCACAAAGGAACTCAGAGGATCTTAATGACTAAGAGCAGCCCTGGGCCTGAACACAGGCTCCACATCACTTCCCATGGACCACCTACTGTGTGTCTGGGGGATAACAGACCACACCCAGGAAGCACCTAGGACAGGCCCGGCTCACAACAACGCTAGCTCAATAATTAATAGTACAATACTGCATCAATTCCCATCCAGCTCAACTTACCAACCCCTTCCCCCTGCTATGATGCCTATGCCATACCCCACCCCACCTCTAGTTTCAACAAACTTCCATAAATCTCAAGCATTTTCATTATCAGTCCTCTCCGTGTGACTTCACTCCTTCCCAGGCCCTCTCCATCACCCCAATACCCCAGGGGGCCTCCCCACACCTTCCGCCTTCTGCATATCCCAGCCAAGGTACTCCTGCCCACACCCTCCAAGCAAATCCCTTTCCAGCCATATCTACCAACTTCCAGCTCCCTTAAGGAACTGAGCCTCTGGATCAACGGTGACCGAAATACTGCTCCCCACCGCAGCCAGCCGCAGTTTGACCCTCCTTTGACCTTCAACCTCACACCAGCCACAGTCCCACCCCAGAGCTAGCACCTCCAAGTCACTGCACTGGTGGAACCCTTGTCTGTGGACCCCCATGAATTCTGTTATCCCTCCCCCACCCACCAGTCTCAGCACTGGTATTCTGGGGGCAGCGGTCAGCAGACCTGCCCTCACAGCCAGGCTGCCACCCACTAACCCAGTCAAACTAAACTTCCACTTTTCAAATCCCTTTGTAATCATTCATCAAGCTAATAGTCCAAATCCACCTAAAGGATATGAATACATGTATTCTCCCACCTGTGTAGATTCTCAAGAAAGACATACCAGAAACTAGTAACAGAGGTGGTCTCTGGGGAGGGAGTCTGGGGCCCAGGAGTGGAGACAGACTTCCTTATCCCTGGAGATCCTCTTGTATTCGTTTTTTTTAACTATGTGCACATAGTGAAAAAAACTTCACTCCCCTCCTCAAAACATGTGTGTATTATGCGTGTGTGTTTATTACACATATATAATCCTACACTGGAAAGAGTGCACATAAGAGGGAGACTTACCACTGATTTTTTCTCTTTTTCATTTTCTCTACCTTTATCTAGAAAAGAAAGGAAATCAATTTTTTAACTTAGTTTTAAATAGCTCACTCTTGGGCTTCCCTGGTGGCGCAGTGGTTGAGAATCTGCCTGCCAATGCAGGGAACACAGGTTCGAGCCCTGGTCTGGGAGGATCCCACATGCCGCGGAGCAACTAGGCCCGTGAGCCACAACTACTGAGCCTGCGCGTCTGGAGCTTGCGCTCCGCAACACGAGAGACTTCGACAGTGAGAGGCCCGCGCACCACGATGAAGAGTGGCCCCCACTTGCCACAACTAGAGAAAGCCCTCGCACAGAAACGAAGACCCAACACAGCCACAAATAAATAAATAATTTTTTTAAAAAATTAAAAAATAGCTTACTCTTCTTTGTCCTAATTATCTAAACCACGACAAAAACAGTAATTTTTATGCTTGCTCCCTGGCCTAAAAATGTTTTCCAGTGACACCTGGGACCCTCCCTAGGTGGACGGAGGCAGGCCCACCACTGCTATCTACCTGTGTGACACTGAAACTGCCGCCGGGGTCCTGTTGACACATCAGGGCCCCAACTGTGCTCAGCTTTGGTCACTTAGTATATTCTGCTTTCCATTTTCCACACATTTTATATTTATGATCCTCACTGATGGGTGTCCAGCTTGTTAAAACGCAGAGTGACCTCCACTCGTAGCTCCAGGGTAAGAGTGGTTGGCGGGTGGGCCACTGAAACCCAGGGGTGGGTTTCAGCACAGGACTCAGGCTTCTCCTGTAGGCCCGGGGCAGACATCGCGGCCCACCCACCCCACAGGGGTTCTCAGGTGCCACTGAACACCCCGAGGCCGAAGAACGCCAGAACTTGGCCACAACAGGGGCTCTCACTTCTGAAGGGGAGGGTTTCCACTCCCAGCGGGAAAAAGAGCGCACCGAGCCTAACCCACCCACCGCTCGCCGGCATCTCCCCCAAGGCCCAAAGAATGGGCCCAGGAACCTTGGGGTAGGGGGTTCTTTCCGCTCTTTAGAGGGCTCCCCAGCTCCGAACAAGAGTTGGGCCCGGAGCCCCAAGGCCCCACCCGCTCCCTGCCGGCTGGCGTCTGGGACACCAGCCAGCGACCGCCCCGCCCCTCCCCCCAGGCCGACCGAGGAAATCCCGGCGCCTCGGAGAAGGGGTTTCGGGTTCAGGCAGGTTCCGCGAGCTGAGGGCGCGGAGTGGGGCTGAGGGCCGCCTCCGGGACGCCAGCGAAGGGAACTGAAAGACGCATTACCCCGAGGCCAGGCCCAACGCTGCGCCCTTGGCAACCCCGGACTGGAGGCGGGGCTCCCGGGCCTGTCGCGGCGCAGCGCCCAGGAAGCCCAGCTCCGCAGCGGCCGCAGCAGCATTGCCCCTCGGGCCAATCCACCGTGCCCGACCTTCCTTCCAGCGCACGTCGGCGCAAGCGCGGCCCACAGACTGGGCCCGCCTCCGCGCACCGCCTCCAGCCCCGCGCCCGCCCCGCCCTGCCGGCTCTTAAAGAGACCCCGTCTCATTTCACCCTCTCTCCGAGAAGGTGAGGGGTTCACCCTTTGCAACCTGGAAATCTTCCCACCAACGAGACGCTGGCAGAATGAACGCATGATTTGGCAAAACTCGGGGCATGGGTGGCCAATAACACCAGCGACTGATTGGTTAATTAACTATTGGAGATTAGTTAATTGAGCATCTGTTGTATCCAGGCACCTGGCACGCAAGGTGTCATTTATTCTTCCCAACAACCGTATGGGTGGATATTGTCAATCCCATTCTCCGGGCTTAGCTGATCCTTGGAAACTTAGGTAACTCGTAAAAAGTGATCAGAAGCATTCATTAAGGGGTGGAGCTGGAATTCAAGCTCATCTATCTTGCTCCACAGCCAGCACTCTTTCTGGGACACCAGCCAGCGACCGCCCCGCCCCTCCCCCCAGGCCGACCGAGGAAATCCCGGCGCCTCGGAGAAGGGGTTTCGGGTTCAGGCAGGTTCCGCGAGCTGAGGGCGCGGAGTGGGGCTGAGGGCCGCCTCCGGGACGCCAGCGAAGGGAACTGAAAGACGCATTACCCCGAGGCCAGGCCCAACGCTGCGCCCTTGGCAACCCCGGACTGGAGGCGGGGCTCCCGGGCCTGTCGCGGCGCAGCGCCCAGGAAGCCCAGCTCCGCAGCGGCCGCAGCAGCATTGCCCCTCGGGCCAATCCACCGTGCCCGACCTTCCTTCCAGCGCACGTCGGCGCAAGCGCGGCCCACAGACTGGGCCCGCCTCCGCGCACCGCCTCCAGCCCCGCGCCCGCCCCGCCCTGCCGGCTCTTAAAGAGACCCCGTCTCATTTCACCCTCTCTCCGAGAAGGTGAGGGGTTCACCCTTTGCAACCTGGAAATCTTCCCACCAACGAGACGCTGGCAGAATGAACGCATGATTTGGCAAAACTCGGGGCATGGGTGGCCAATAACACCAGCGACTGATTGGTTAATTAACTATTGGAGATTAGTTAATTGAGCATCTGTTGTATCCAGGCACCTGGCACGCAAGGTGTCATTTATTCTTCCCAACAACCGTATGGGTGGATATTGTCAATCCCATTCTCCGGGCTTAGCTGATCCTTGGAAACTTAGGTAACTCGTAAAAAGTGATCAGAAGCATTCATTAAGGGGTGGAGCTGGAATTCAAGCTCATCTATCTTGCTCCACAGCCAGCCCTCTTTCCTCTGAACTTTGACATTTCCAGGGTCTGGACTGTAAATATATTAGATCCCTCAGAAAGTTACTTATAAAAAAAAAGACAACAGGCCCCAAATGGAGTCGCTTATGCTAAGCCCCACTCACCAAACCAAGACTTAATTATAGTTTTGGCTCTCCAGTCAATCAGGCTTCGTCTGATCAGCACTAGTTAGGTGACTTGCCTGATAGACCCCCTGCCATCCCCTAAAGAAAAGTAACCTTGCAATAACCAACTTCCTTGTTCTCGCTCCCTTCTGCCTATAAAAGTCTTTCTTTTTGAACAGCTCTTCAGAGCTCCTTTCTATGTTAGATTGGGTGTGATACTGAGCAGGATCCTGTGGGGCTCCTGGGCACAAAAGCCTTTCTATGTGCCCCATCTCTTTGATTACAGGAAATAGGCTTCATTCAGCCTCTATGACCTTCCCTAAATTCCATCTGGCATATTCAAGCAGCTGCTAATTAGGGAAGGGAGGGGATACAGACAAAGGAGAAACAAACAGTCAAGAGAAACAATAAAAGAAAAAGAGAGAAACAATAAAAAAAAAAAAGAGAGAGAGAGAGAGAGAAACAATAGTGCAGACTTGGGGCAAGGTCCTGGCTCCCCATCAAGCGATATACACGACAGTATCTTTGAGCTGTTTTGCAGATACTGAAACCCCCATCAGATGGGAGAAGTCAATGGTTAAGGACGGTATGCTGCCCACAAGCACGCAGACCCCAGACACCTTGGAACCAGAAGGTTGATGATGCTGACTCCCACTTACCACCAACCAATCAGAAGAATGTCCAGGAGCTGATCACGCCCTCTTTGAACAATTACTGTAAACCTTCTGACTACCCTCTCCAAGTTGGGACACACAGTTTTGAGGGCATTAGCGTGCTGTGGCCCCCTTTGCCTCGCAAAGCAATAAAACTTTTCTACTTCACCCAAAACTCTGTCTCCGAGATTAATTCGGTGGCAGGGTACAGAGGCCGGATTCAAGTTCAGATGCCACCCGATTTGAATCCATTTTTGTTCAAATAAAATCTTAAAAATTTTAATAAGCCTCAATTTATCTTTTAACAAAGGCACAACCAACGTTCCCACTGGACAGACAACTCGGGGGTGGGGAGAAGCTGGCCTGCTTGGCTCCCCTCAAGGTCTGAGGAAACGCTGCGCGCGAACCCTGGCTTTCCACCTAGCGGGGGCCACCAGTAGGTGGCAGCGGACAGGGTCAGGGTGGCTGCCGCATGTACTCAAGTGCGGGCGAGGTGACCTGCGCATGCGCGCTGGGAAGGCGGGACACCTTCAAGAGCGTCTCGAGGCCGCAGTGGCCGTTGCAGCTGTGGCGCGAGGCCTGGCAGATCGGTCCGCTGAGGAGGGGAACTGACGGAGAAGTGCTGCTGCTGGGTCTTTAGGCGAGATGCTGACGGTGAAGCTGAAACCGAAGCACCGCCCCTTCTGCTTCAGCGTGAAAGGCCACGTGAAGATGCTGCGGCTGGTGAGGGCGGGGCCTCGGGGTGAGGGACGGTGTCCCAGCGCTCTTCCCCGCAGGGAGGTAGGGCTGCAGAGCACGAAGCCGAGGCCCTGTCCTCTCTTTCAACCTTGTTGAACCTCTGTCAAGGCCTTCCTAGAGGCAAGGCATTTCGCTCTGCACCCTGAGGGTAGAAGGAAAGAAATAGGGTGCCGTCCTTCCCCATCAGGGGCTTTACGGACCCACTCATAAAGCAAAATCCGCACACCTACATGAATGGCCCACACTTGGACCCACAAACCATGTACCCAGGTTACCAGGGGAGGCAGCTGCAGTTGTACCACTCAGATGCCAACAAGATTAAAAACAAAAACAAAAGCACCGAGGGGTTTCAGTGGATGCTGTGTTTACTTGCTAGAACTCAGTAGTTTTGATGTGAGCGAGCTCAAGGCTGATATAGTCCAGAGCAAGGACGATGGAACTCCTGGTTCCTGGGGTGTCAGACATGCCAGGAGCATTGCAGCCAGTTCTGGCAGAGGTTGGGAGAGAATGAATCGTCATTTGGAGGAAGGCGACCTGGCTAATTAGAGAAGTGGAAATTATCATAAGACAATATGTTGAAGGAATTCGAGAAGAGAAAAGGGGAAGGAAAAAATTAATTCTTAAAATTTAAAGAGGCGACATATAAGGAGAGGAGGTGGAAAGTTAAAGGTTACAGGAAAACAGTCCTGCTTATTATGAGGAAGAATTTTTTTATTGGGAAAGTTGCCAAAATTAAGTGGCCACTTGGGAAGGCAGTACATTCCCAGACAGAAGAGGTAGCAGGCACAGATGAGCACTTAGCATGTTGTGATGGTGATTTCAGCTTCAGGTGAGTGGGCAGAACAAACTGCATGCAAGGTCCTTCTCACACCAAAGTGTGTGATTCTGAGAAATAACTATGACATAATGCAAGTCAGAATGCATGAAAGAAGTTTAGAAAACTACTCTGGAGTTCAAAAAAACAGAGAGATTAGCTTGGGTTGGAAGTAAATAATCAGGAAAGAAGTGACCTGAGGGTCTGGGGTTTTATGCCAGGTACTGAAAGCTTTGGAACACTGGAGGAGAAATGGGATTTTGTGAGAAAGTTTCCATTTTTAAAAAAATATAATTATAAATCTTTATTATCATTTGTATATGCTTCAAAGTATTCTATAGTGTGAATGAAACACATTTATCATTCCTCTGTTTCTGGTTTTATAGTCTCCAGAAAGGTTTCACTTTTGATATATTAATTCCCTCAACAAAACTTTGAATATTTAATGTATTCCCAGCCCTGAGTTAGGACTTGAAACAACAAAGACACCCAAGATGAAAGTCCCTGACTATGCAGTCCTTCAGTTTAGTCAGAGAGAGGCACACAAGCAGATAGCTGTGATGTGTGACAGGATGAAGTTAGAGCACAGAGTGAGGCATCTAACCAAGGAGGTGTCAGGAAACTTCCTAGGGGGACATTGGGTAGGGTTTAAGGGACAGCCACCTGAGCAAATGCGTGGAGGCCAAAAAAAAACAAAACCCAGCATGATTTATGAGCAAACCATAAGAAGTTGAGTTTTGCCTTATTTTTTTCAGCCAACAGATATTTATTGAAAGCCTGCCATGTGCCAGGCACTGTTCCAGGCTCTTGGGAGATATGAGGGGACAAAGCAAAGATCCCTGTCCACATGGAGTTTACATATTGGGGTGGGAGGGCAGGGAAGACAAACAATAAACACAATAAATAAATAAATAATAAATTAATAAATAAATGGTGTAATATTCTAGAAGGGGGTAAGTGCTGTGGAACAAAGAAAACTAAAGCCAGGTAAGAGAGTGTAAGGGAAGGTAGGGTTGGAGAGGAAGATTGCAGGAATAGAATGGTCAAGTTAGGCCTTGTTGAGGTGACTTCTGAGCAAAAGCGTTGAGTGAGATGAGGGAGTTAAGCTATGAATATCTGAAGGAAGAGTGTTTTAGGCAAAGGAAAATCCGGTACAATGGCCCTATGGCAGGAATGTACCTGAAGGGTTCAAGGAAAAGCAAGGAAACCAGTATAGCGGGAGTGGACTGACATAGGGACACAGTGGGAGATGAAGACGGTTTTGAGTAAAGTTGTATATGATCTGAGTAACATTTTTTTTTTTTTTAACATCTTTATTGGGGTATAATTGCTTTACAATGGTGTGTTAGTTT